AGAAATAATCATTGAGAATATCCTAGACCTGTGGAAAGAGCTGGATCCTCAAAAATCAAGACACTAACACAACATCTAATTATCTCACTCCAAAAGGCCTTCTAAAATGCACATTATATTAAAACTGTCAAAAAGAAATGACAAAGAAGGAATTCTCAAGGCAGCCATGGAAAAGAAGATGGTAACCTATAAAGGAAATCTCATTAGATTTGCATTGGATTGTTCAGAAAAAACCCTACAAGCTAAGAGAAAATAGAATCAAATATTCAAAATCTTGAAAGAGAGAAATAACCAGCCAAAAATAATATACCCAGGAAAGTTATTCTTTAGATATGAAGGAGAAATAAAGGCTTTCCCAGACAAACAAAAGCCGAGGAAATTTACCACCAAATGATGTTCATTACAGGAACTGTTGAAAGGAGCTGTTTACTCTGAAACAAAGAGCCAAAAGTATAGAAAACTTTGAGGAACATGACAAATGGAAGCAGGAAATTACAATTCTATTTCAGAACAGAGTGTTAAACATTTAATTATAACATAAAGGTTAAGGGTGAATAAGCATTTTAAAAAGACTGTAACTTCTGCAATTTGGAAATAAATACACAGCATAAAAAGGGATAATTTGTGACAAAAAGCAAAATGGGAAATATAAACATAAAAAGGAAGGAGGCATAAGACTACATGGGTGAATAAAGATAAGATGCAACAAGAAGAAAAAGGACTATTGTATGTATGATAAATTTTTTTTTACATAAACCTAATTGTAATCACAAAATAAAAACCTAGAGCTGAGGCACTTAATATAAATAGAGAAGAAATGGAGAAAAGAATCATAGGAAGTCACCAAACTAAAATAGCAGACACAAAAAAAAACAATGGAGATAAAAAGCAACCAGAAAACAACAGTTAAAATGGCTGTAGTTAAGTCCTCATGTATCAATAATCACCCTAAATGTAAATAAACTGAACTCACCAATCAAAAGGCACAGAGTAGGGGGATGTATTAAGAATACAAAACCCAACTATATGTTCCCTTCAGGAGACCCATCTCAGTTACAAAGAGAAAAAATAGTCTCAAAGTGAAGGGGGCGATGACCATAAGATGTCCAGCTGTTCTGTGCTGGTCCTCCAGTCCTGGGACCCTAGTAAGTTCACCTACCTCTTTCCACCATTCAGAGTTCTATGTTTGCCTCTATGGTTTCCAGGGTTTGTAATTCTACATAAAGACAGGAGCAGTCAGAGATTAGTCCATACCATCTTATTGGAAACCTCCTTCCTTAGTGCTTACATCATAGTTCCTTCTTTTATTCACTCAACAAACATTTATTTGGCTCTATTTATTGGGTCCAGTCCCTGGAGAATGGGAGATAACAGCACAGGGAGGGTAAGTTTTGTTTGGGTGGGGAGATGGCAATAACAAATCCTCTAAAGAGTTTACCCCATATAGGGTACTCTCCCTTATCTCTCAAGTCACAAGTCTGGAGGTCAGGTGAATCCTTCCCTCATTCTCTTGTTAGTCCTGTGAGATCTATCTCCCTGCACCTGCCTCACTCCTTCTCATGGTGTCCTCTTCCAAACGTTCTTATCTCTCACCTGAGTGACTTCAGTGATCATCTGTCTGGCTGCTTTTTTTCTGAATGTTCCCACTGACTCCTCCTCCATCCTGCTGCTTGGCGGTTCTTTAAGATGCATGTCTGCTCATCACTCTTACCTGCTGGAAGCCAGTCAACAGCTCTCCAGTGCCTACAGAACAATGGTCCACACTCTTTAGGTCAGTGCACTCATCCATGTCCTGCCACTGTCCCCCAGACCTCAAACCTATACCCTCTTGCACATCACAGTCCTGACATGCCAAATGCTCATAGGTCCTTGAGCATAATAAGACATGTCCACCCCTCATGCTGTGGTATGTACTGGGCCCTCTGCCTATCATGCTTCTTTTTTTCTCTTTGTTCACATTAAAACCGTCTATTCATCTGACACAACAGAGTGCAAATGTCACCTCTAGGAAGCCATGACTTCTGATGACAATCACTGTCTCCTCAGTGCTAACTTGCCTATGCTTCCTATCTGCACATTTCACAATGAAGTGCATTTGTTTATAGTTGTCTCCCTTTGTAGTCAGCAAGCTCTTCATTAGAATAGACTCTGTCTTATTTCCTTCATCATATTTAGTGTTAGGAATATCCATGTATATAGTAGCTGTCAAATGCATGTTGACCAAACATACACAATGGAAGGGCTCACAACTGTTCTAAATCTATGTATATGTAAGACAGAAATGGCCATGGGGGTGAGGAGTTACGTCTATGAATTTGATGAACCTGCCTCAGAAGAGCTGTGGCTTTGGAATATGATCTTTGCTTTCATGATTTTTCTGTTTTCTCTTCAGCGTTGGGCACAGCTCCTCTAGTTTCTATCATGGGATATGTTGGTGGAGGCATCCAGCTACTCTGCAAGTCCTCAGGCTGGTTTCCTCAGCCCACAGTGAAGTGGAAAGACCCACAAGGACATGATTTGCCCTCAGACTCAAAGGTGAATGCAGACAGACGTGGCCTGTTTGATGTGGAGACTTCCCTGATAGTCCAGGAAAATGCTGGGAGTGTATCATGTTCTATCCAGTACCCTGACCAGAGCGGGGAAGTGGAATCCAGGGTATGGATAAGAGGTGAGTGCGGAGGAAGAAGAATGGGGTGAGGTTCATATCTGTGTAGCCCTAGGGAGAAAACTAGGCTCTATTTTAGTGTTGTTGTGTAGTATTGTCCAGGTTTAATGATTAGTGTTGAAAGTCTAAGATACATGAAGTAAAAAGAAAATATCATAAAATTAGATTATGTGGAAACAATTGTCTACAATTGCAGTGGAGTAGGGTCAAACATTTCCTTCATTACATGATCATCTTCATGGTGCAACCCTTTAAAATCAACATGCACAAAATTTAAGAAACATAACTTGAGGAACAAGAAAAACATGTTTACTCATATTTTGGAAAACATTGAATCATTATAGTATGAAACAAGATAGAATAAAAATAGAAATAATTTTGGAAAACTTTTAAAAATAATAGTATAATTTATGTAAACTCAAATATGTAAAAGAACTTAATGTCAAGGCACTTAATTTTCCAGTAAAAAGACAAAGAATATCAGACTGGATTTTTAAAACTTGACTTTGCTAATTTGTAAGAAAAATAATAACACATATTTATTCAAAATAAAAGTTTAACAAAAGCATACCAGACAAATATTACCATAAGGAGAATCATAACAGAAAAATTTGTGTCAAGAAAGGAAAGAATAAAGGTTTTAAGGAAAACAACCTATTTAGAAATCACATGAAAGGAAGAAATCGAATGGCTGTTGTTCACAGGGTATGTGGTAATATACAATAGAAATTTAGAAGAATATAAAGCTAAATTTTTTCAATTCATAAATGAATTCATCATGTTCATATGGGATTAATAAAATTAATTGCATTTTTGTGCAAACCAGCCAAGAAAAAAGTAAACGTGCCATCTATAAGACCAACCAAAAAATGTTGACTAGGAGTAAGTCCAATGAAATATTTGCAAACTCTTATTGAAAATCATACAAATCTTTATTAAAAGATACTACTGAAAAGGGGCCG